CTGGAGGAGTTCACGTGGATGTTTGGGGGCCTTCCAAGGGAGTATCATTGGGAGGTAATAGAAGTTTGGTTTCCTTTGTTGGTGGCTGTTCTAGGCGTGTTTGGGTTGCAACCAAATCCCCTTTGGAGAAATTCCTAATAGTATCCAACAGATTGAAGAAGTGTGTGATAAACAGAAAGGTGAAGGTACTCCATTCTGGTGGGAGGTACAAGATGGACCTGTTTCTGTATTGGAGCCGAGCTCACGGCATTGCGAGACACTTCGTTGGAAAGGAAATCTTGGGGCAACCAGATAAGGTGACAAATTTGGAGAATCGTGCCTTGCTGGAGGAGGATCGGTGTTTGTGGTCAAGCAATAGTCTGCAGAAGAGTTTCTGGACTGAGGCTTCGACATATTCGAGCCATCTTATTAAAGAGTTGTCAACTGCTGTGATTGGATGTAAAACTCTATTGGAAGATAGGTCTGGTAGTGTCACTTTGGTTGAGGCTTCGATGAGGAAGCCAATTGACTCTCGGCAGGTGGAGAGTTTTGGACAGACCTTAGAGGTATCGCAGCGGATGGAGATTGATGCTACTCCACATTGAGTGGGGATTTTCCCACATACTCCAGGTTATTCTGCATTGGTTGAGATTCCAGCTGAGGTGACACAGCGTGGAAGTTATTTGGATTTATGTGCAGATGATGAGTTGGGTTTTGATTCGAGTGCAGCTGACAGACATAGTTTGGATATGGTCATTGGTTCACCTCAGGTGGAGGTGTTTGAGGCCATTGGAGGTGCTATCAGCCGCAGAGTTGATGATGTTGGAGAAGGGTTGCTAACTCTTCTATTGGATTGAGGTCGTTCGTGGCCATTTGGGTGAACTACGTTCGGCTTGATTCCTTGGGCAAGAGGATACGTAGGCAGTCTTATGATGCAGCCGGGTTGGATTATTTGATGGGGGTGAGATCGATTTGGTGAGTAGATACCGACGTTTGGAGAGTGTTTGCACTCTCATTTGGGTTCTCGACTTGTTATGGATTGAGTCCGTTGTCGTGAATTGTTTCACTTTGTACTGGACACAACAAGTGAGACATTTGGTTTTGTTGGTGTCGGCTCAGTTTTGAGAAAACTTCACCGAGGTGGAGAATTGTGAAAAGTCACGTGGGGGGAGATCATGTTGTGTTAGCTTGTGGGGGCCACCACCACATTCCCAAAGCACGTGAAGAGATCAGTTTTTCTTGGTGACGTGAAGAATTGTAAATCCACCTGACGCGTGAAGAGCTAGCCCACGACCCGAGTCCAGTACAAAGCCACATATATATTCTTCCTAGGGTTTTGTGAAAACTGTGCAAGGTAGGCTTCGTGAGGGGAAAAAAACGCAGGGGTTTTTTTTTCGGTGTCCGAGGCAGCAGGGGAGAACGCGTGTGCAAGGACGGCGTGGGGCGGAAGGCTTTTGTGAACGCAGTCTTCGGTCTTGGATCTGAGAGGATTTTCAGCATACTTTTGTGTGAGATTTGAGAGATAGTTTGAGGGTTTATTTGTGAGATCTTGTGAGATTGTAAAACCTAGTTGTATTCTCTCCTCTCTAATAGTAGATCTCCCCCTCCTTGCCCCGTGGACGTAGGCAGTTTGCCGAACCACGTAAAAATTGATTGTTTGAGTTTGTGGCAATTGTAATAGTTTTTTAGGATCCCTCGACGCGCAGTCCTAGAGCTGACGAGAGGAAGAGCTAATATCCCACTTTGATGGGATATTAGGCTTCAGATTCTTGTTCCCTTTGAGAAACAAAAATTCTTATCGATCTTTCTCTCTTATTGTGCACCAGAAACTCTGCCGAATTTTCCGCTGCGCACAACAAAAATTTCTGAAGTTTAGTGAAATAGCTTAGTGTTTTGTATTCCGTCTTAGACAAAAACGGGCTGCTTTTCCATTCTCTTAAAAGTTTAAGGATTTTCTTGCTATTTTTTAAAGTTTTAATAAAACCCTCTACTCCTCTAGTTGGGTTGGTTGTAGATAGACCCTTGGTGCTGAAACAAACATTTTTATTTTATTTTAGGTTTTCCCTATATATACCTTCGATTGAAGGTATTTGCAATTTGCAAAATTAAACCCTAAGCATGTAAATCTAATTACTATTTTTAACCTCCAAATTGTAATAATTTTTAATTTGATTCTCCACCCTAACTTTTCTAAAATAAAATTTAAATATTACATTAAATAATTTTTTTTTTAAAAATAACTAATTTATCTTAGTTAAGGTAGTTATTCTTACCAAATTAATTTTGACATTGTTATAATGCTATTGGTACACAATTTGAGGGCTTAAAAATGAAAGAAAAGAGCAAAGAAGGAGGTTTATACATTCAGTAATATTAAGTAGTTATTTTTAAGTTTAATTAATGTAACTAAATATAGTTTAATTATTTTTGGATAATAATCAATATTAAAATACTTAATTACGTTTTTTCCAATATTAGTCCGTCGATTTCTCAATATTTTTAAATTAATTCCCCGAATCTTAATATTTTAAAATTAACCCCCCCCCCCCAAGGGCCAAC